AAAGCCCCGCTTCCCTGGGACCAGCAGGAGGTGTGGTGGTTAAGGTGCTAGACACTCCCACATGGCCGATCACGGTTCAAGTCCTGGACCTGGTGGCTTGCTTTCCCACTTTCTCTGTCTCTCTCTAGTCAAATTAAAATAAATGAATGAATAAATAAAAATTAAAAAAAAAATCCCTCTTTGTTAAAAAAAAAAAAAAAAGATGCTCTTCCCACCTTAGCAAACTACTAATAATTTAAAAATATACTGACCTGGAGAATTTCTCTTTTGTAATAATCTAAAACCTTCTGTTTGAGTCCACTGTTGCATACAGATTGGAGACAGACCAGTCTTAACACCTTGATCAGAGGATGCTTTTGGGCGATACAGTCCTCGATGTAATTGTTGACCTAGAAAGAGGGTTGAGACATACTGAGACATACACACACCAAACGCATAGTCCCAGGACTCAGAGAACTTGAAGTTTATTTATTTTTTTCAAAGTCAAACAAAGGAATGTGAAGGAGCATGGCCCATTGTCTTCCCACACTCCTGATGAACCCTGAGTGGCTCCCCGAGCCCCTGCCACACCCAGGCCACCAAACACACCAGGAATCAGGCCAAGTCACAGGAGTAGAAGGCCAGTCCATCCGTCTGTCTTGGCACATCTGTCTCTACGGACAAGCTTCTAAGAGCACAAGCCACCGCACCCAGCCTTTAGGCTGGGCTGAGACTCAAACCTGGGCCTCCCATGTGGTCCCAGCCTGCGGACACAGTGTCCTAGTGGTGCCTATCACTGTGGCTGGACCTGGCTCTAACCTTACGCTTGATAAGCTTTCGATTCTTTGCCAGAATGCTCTTACCGTCTACATACCTTGTCAGTGTCTATTCCAGACATGAACTCCTGTTCCACTGTTAATTTATCAAAAAAGTCTTCAGAAGCTAAAATGTAATTAGCAAATAGGCAACTTAGAAATTAATGTTATTTAAATAGTGAGCTTTCACACACAGACCATGATTAAGAACAAGACATGCAAAAAAGCAAGCAAGCGAAAGTTCAAACCATCACTCGAAGAGTCTTCTAAGGAACGCCGAGAACCCTGCAGCTCTATACTCCAGAACCACACTGAGACAGACTGCTGCCTGTACTGTACTCCCTGACTATCCTCAAGGTTTAATACGGACCTCAGAATTCTGCAGAATGCACCTCAGAACGAGAGAAAGCTTTTCCCCAAGAGTACTTCATTTTCGTAAGCATGTTCAACCCAGTTTCCATGAATATTACTAATAATACGAAAACAAAGGACTGATTAGTCACGATTTGAAATACACGTTACAAAACAGCACCAAACCTCCAACTTCGTTTTACAGGCCTGGGTTTTAGTGAACAAACTCATGTTTGTTTAATACACATCTTCCCAGCTCTTCCAGAACACCTGGCGTGTGCTTTCTGGAAGCAGAAAGAGCTTACGGGGGGGTGATGGTAAAACCCAGAAACACCTCACGCTCTAGTCTGGTAATTCCTCCCAATAGGAAATTACCCAGACTAAAAAAATTAGCCACCGCATATCATGATGGCAAAGTTTCGGGTCCATTTTTCCTTCTCACGCACATCCTGGATACTTTGTCATATGAGTAATAATGAAAAAAAGCTGAGCTAAGCACGAACGGGACATCCTTGTCAGTGAACGTGCGTGTACCCGACGCTGAGCGTAGCCATGACGTTAGCGTGGCACTGACTCTCCCTAAGACGCGTCATGGCACAGCGCGCGTGCGAGGCAGGCCGCGTGGGGAGACCGAGAGGACCGCTGGCCGGGACACTCACTGGTGACGTCCTTGATCAGCTCTGCGATGGAGGTGTGGTTGGCCAGCGAGCCTCGTGCTGCCTGCATGTGGGGCAGCTGGGACACGAACTGCTTAATCTCCCCCACCGTCTTAGCGTTGTGCCTCTCCTGGAACGCACAGGACAGCACGCCGTCAGGGACTGGAAAGCGCTCTCGTTTGTACTGCTCGAAGGACGCTTGATTTACACAGATGTGAGAGCAAGACGAGAACACAGATACAGCAGCCACCCCTTAGCCGTGGTTTTGCTGTTTCAGTTTCCTGTAGTCAACTATGTTCTGAAAACAGGTGGGTATGGCACAGCAAGACACTCTGAGGCCCAGCCAGGAGGCACAGTGGTTGAGATGGCTAGATCCCACGTGGCCCACTGTGCAGTGTAAGTACCAGACCCAAGGGCTTGAAAAACACACAAGGCATGTGTGTGTGCCCAAAATCCCGAGAGGAGAACAGGGAAGAAGGGACGTCAGTGTTGCTGTCCCCCCAGGGTGTTTTCTCATGCCCTCTCTCTGCCTCTCTGCAGCACGCATGCACCCTCTGGGGATTCATACACAAGAGGGCCAGGCGGTGGTGCAGCGCCCTGTGGTGGGCTTGCACCCGGGACCTCCCTGACAGAGCCCGAGATCCAGGACACTGGCTGGGGCCGGCTGGGGCTGGAGCAAAGCATGAAGACCCTGTTGGGGGTGCCTCTCTTTCTCACATGGAAAAATTCATAACTTTTTTAAAAAAAGAAAGGAAGGATGAGCATATCGCTGAGAGGCAGAATCCATGGTGCCTATTTCCACATCAGCACTTTTTTTTTTTTTTAATGGTTTTTGCAATTGGGCATGCGTGCTCACTGGAGAGAAGCGACAGAAAGAGGGAAAGTGAGGGACCAGCAGTTAGCGTAATGGCTATGTCGCTGGACTCCCATGTAGTCGACCACGGTTCGAGTCCTGGGTCCGGCGATTTAAACTCAACGCTAGGCGCATGTGTGTCCAAGATCCTGAGAGGAGAACGGAGGAGAAGGGATTGCGGCGTGGCCACCCCCTCTGGGGGGTGATTTCTCGCTTTCTGTCTCTTTGTCTCTCTCTGTCTTTCTGGCGAGCGCACATGCCCGATAGCAAAAACCTCTCCCAAAAAAAAAGAATGAGGGAAAGTGAGAAATCACCCCCTAAGGGGATGGCCATGCCACAATCCCTTCTCCATTCTCCTCTTGGAATTCTGGGCATGCACACACACAGCGTGATTTTCAATCTTCCAAGTCTAGGACTCGAACCGTGGTTGGCCATGTGGGAGTCCAGCGCCTTCACCACCACATCACCTGCTGTTCCTGATTTCGGGGCTTCTTTAGGGAGCACGCCCCCAAGACTCCCTTCGCCTATGTGCCGTCCCATACCTCCCGTTGGTATTTTGTGGGCACCGGGGTACTAGCAGAGGGCACGATTAGGTAAATCACAAACTTCTGAGGGAAAAACTAAGACAAAAAAGTTGTGTTCTGCTCAGCGGGACCGCAGACAGTGACGGACAAACATCCACTCTTGCTGCTGAGCCTCGCTCTCTAGTACAGCCCATGAGCAAAGTGAAGCTAGCTTAGTGCTAGGAGCATTCTGGGGGCAAAGCCGAATAATAAAAACTAAAAGTAACCCCAGAAATATAAAATTCAATTAGTGAATGTAATTCCTAAGAAAGATAAAATCTGCAACTCCATACTCAGTGAAAAATTAGTTTCCCACAGCTCTGTTTCCAAAGTCTAAATATTCGGAGTTTATCATCCTGCTCAATTCCCAGGTTCCAGAAAGGAGCTTAACCCAGAATAAGCCAGAGACTGGGCAAGATGAGGCAGGCCGGTGATAACGAAGCCTGTGGTCTGAGGGCTCCGGCTACAGGGATTTCAATCTCATTATCACCTACCGCTCGTCGCGGTGCCCTGCCGCCGTCCCGCTGGCTGCACGCGGAGCCCCCACCATGAGCTGCCATGTTCTGTGACAGTGGGCCTTTCATTTACAGTACAGCTGGCTTCGTCTCAAGTGAGGCAGAAAAGGATTTAAAAGAAAAAGATAAAGAAATGTCTACAACGAACGCTTGTGGGCTGGATCTGTGTGGTCTGGTAGCTAAGGCAGCAGATTCCACGTTGCCAACTGTGTGATTTGAGTTCCAGATCTGGTGGCTCGAGAAACACACTGCTGCGCGTGTGTTTGTGCACGCCCCAAATCCCAACCGGAGGGAGAGAGGGAGAAGGCAGTGTGGTGTGCCTATTCCCTGTGGGGACGCTTTCTCCTCTCCCCCTTTCTGGTGAGCACACGAGCCCTCAAGCAAAATAAAAAAGATGGACGCTTGTGAACTGCAAATGCTTATGCTTCCTCCAAAAAAGGAGAAGCACAGAACACAACCCCTTTTGTTGTAAGTCTAGAAAAAAGTTGAAAGAGAACAGTTGTGTCCTCCAAGAATGGGGCCTGCCACCCCTGAGGAGCAGAGGGGCCCGGCCACACCGAAGCCCTGCTTGGCATCTAAGTGCTTCGGAGCCTCTTCCCCCTTGGGGTGGGCAGCCCGGCTGTGAGCTGCAGCGGCGGGGCGGTGACCCAAACTGGCCTCACCTCGAAGGCCGCAGAGATGATCTTCGCCTTCTTGCTGAGCACGGAGCCCACAGCGTTGAAGTTCTTGTCTCGGATCTCGGCATAAAGCTCCTCCGCAGAGTTCAGCTGAAGCTTCTTTGCTTCCGTGGGGAGATCCTTCCCGCCTTCACCCTGTTTCTTAGGAGCGAATTTCTCTGGGGGTAATTTCACATAACCTGAGTGACAGGGGAGGGAAAAGCAGCTGTGTGCAATCACTGGAAGAACCAATCAGTGCCAGGCATGAAACAGAAATGTCCGACCCGAGAGCAGAACAATGGCTCTGGGAGAAAAGGCTTCTGGTGCCAAGATTCGATTCCTTGCTATCAAATATAGGAAACAGTGGCCCTTTAATACGGACACCACGGTCCTCTTCTTCTTCGGGGCACCAACACGAACCATGCAGCAAGGCTCCATTTCTAAATCAGGGATTAGGTTTTTTTTTTTTTTTTTTTTTTTTTATAGACCACAGATTAGTTTATTTTTAACACCCATCATGCCATGAATTCATAGGGAATAGGTTCCAGCAGCCCCGGCTCCTTTCCATTGGTTCTCACAAAGTGTGCTTCTCTGGGAGGAGCAGGCTGGCGCTTTAGTTGAACCCAGGTCCCTTTCTCTTTGGCTTCCTTCTTTTTCTGGTCATTTTCCTTCACACGTTTTAGGAAGCTATCTCTGCTCTTAGAATGTTTAATATGCTCAATACGCACATTAATTCTCTTGGCAAGAATCTTGCCCTTGTTTGTTCACAACAATGCCAACAGCATGCTGGGTGACACTGTAGACTCTCCCAGTTTTGCCATGGTAACATGTGGGGCATTCCTTTTTGAACAGTACCCATTCCCTTAATGTCTACAATACCACCTTTCTTGTAGATTCACATATATGTCACCAGTTTGTCATCTTGGTTAATTATTGGAAGATGGCAGTTCCAGCCAAAAGCAGGTCAGTTTTTCACCCAAAAAACTTAGGAAGATTTCCTCATTGTCTTCTGGTGTTTATGAACTGTAGGTCATGCCCCATGAGTGGATCATGAAGTCAAGCTGGGAGATCCCCATAACCGACCCAGCCTCAGTGTGCTAGAGACCACACAGCCATCGCTGGGTTCAGACCCCAGGGTCGCACTGAAAACATGCTGGGCGTGCATGTGCGTGCCAAAGGTCCTGACGAGCTCGAGGGCTGGGGGAGGGGACTGCAGCGCGACAAGACCCGGTCAAGGGTCTCTCTCTCGTGCATGCATGATCATAAATAAAATGAAGTTAAAAACAACAGCTCTTTCAGTCCAAATAATGCATACGTAGGCAACATAAAAACAACAGCCTCCACGCAGGACATTTTACCCCTCACCCACCCGGGAGCGAGATGACGTCACTTACTGTTCTGGATGCCGTAAATCTCATCGATGAGTCCCTCATACGTCAGCTGGGTGGCGAGCGGCGTTAATAAATCCACGTTTCGATCAAGCAACAAGAGGTTATCAAACACAGGAAATATCGCATTTTGGCTGCCTGTAAACTCCCTCTTCATCCGGATCATCATGTTGGCCACTTGCTGGGAACAAAACGTTGCATCAGGTGAGGCTCTCCTGGGAGCTAGCAAATTTAAAAGTTCTGCTCAACAGGAAAACAAATGAAAAGAGTGAAAGAAGGAGAAAAACGGGGAAAGACAGGCTGATGGGAAACAGGCGGCGACTGAAAAGTGCCGGTGGTGGCCAGTACCAGCCCGACGCTCAACACTTAGCCCGTGGTGGTGGCCATCTTTCAAGGGCGTCTAAACTTAGACCGCGTTTGTTCTTGGTACCGGCAGGACTTCTGTCCTAAGAGGTCACTGCAAACACCGAGTCCGCAAATACTGAATTGCAGCTCCTAGGAAACGGAGTTCAGTTCCTGGAAGCTTCTGGTCACGGTAGTTTTGCCAACTGATCAACACATAGCCTTGTGTGTTGATGTTTTGCTATAGAGTGGATGTTCTTGATGAAGAGACAGATGGGCGGCGGGGTGGGGGCGTGGCCATGCTGCAATCCCATCTCCTCCATTCTCCTCCCAGGACTGTGGGCACAAATGTACGCACGCTTGGCGTGTTTTGCAAGTCACGGGGTTTAGACTTGAACCATGCAGTCGGTCATGTGGGATCCAGCTGCCCTAACCCCATGCTGGCGCCCCACAGCCCTGTTTCATGTGTTTGTTTAAAGACGCCCAATCTGATACAACTGCTGCTGACCCGCTCCCTGAATTCACGCCCAGAGGAAGCTCCCTGCACTCTGAACCTGAGCTGGCATGCCAGCGCCACGCTAGAGGCCATTTTAAACCGCAAACCACCGAGAGCACGAATGAAATCGTGGACAGCGTGGCACTGGATGGGCTGCGAAAGGACACAGCTGAAGCCTGAGGGCAGTGAGAAGGCAGATCGTCACCGTCTCACCCTCTGCTGGGGACGCGTGCACACGCGTGTGCTGGAACTCAAGTGCCTGCCGCTCGGCGCATGACCCAAACACGGCAAGCGTGTCACTGGGTTACCAAGGAACCCTGACTAGGCGCACACAGGTCATGACGTGCGAGGAGTGACTGTGTCTGGAGGCGGGGTTCCCGTTCGCCCACCCTCTGGGAGACACCATTCTCACCCGAGCGCATTCTCCTTTCCCGAAGATCTGGGGGATCGTTCCGTACAGAGCTTGCAGGGTCATCAGCCCCTTGGCCGCGTGGTACAGGCTCGTCTGATCGCCCTCCAGGTAGCACTCCTGCAGGGGACGGACACGGTCATCTCCTGGGGCCAGGTGCGCCTGCTCCCAGTGCTGGGACTCGGCGATGGAACACGAGACACCTCCCATGCCCGCCGCGCTTGGCAGGGGAAGCCGCTGGGCGGCAGCGGTTGGCGGGGGAAGCCGCTGTGCGGCAGCGAGGCCCTGAGGCCTGCAGCCGGCAGCCAGGCCAGCTGTGGAAGCAGCTCTCCGGGCACAGCTGGGCCTCTGAGGAGGCACACTCCCGGCACACCAGCCTCTCGGTTCACCAGCACTTGAGTAAGGAGTATGAGTAGATATTGACGTCATCAGGATGGGTTCTCACCACTCTCCGTGTGAGCTTTGGCAGGACAGGATGGGACAGTTGGACATGCATGTATTTTGTGACCCCCGAGGTCCCACATAGCCACACACAACAGGACATGTTGCGGTTCTTACAAAGGAGGCGGCGGAGTTTCACATATGAAGGCTTCAAAATCTTGAGAAATGTAACAAACAAGTTGCAAAACTCTGAGGGTAATCTCACTTTTATAAAAGCTATGGTTTTTTTTTTTTTTTTTTTTTTGGGTAGAGAGAGATTTTTGCTACAGGGCATGGACACTTGCCAGAGAGACAGAAATCAAGAAATCACCTCCCATGGGTGATGGCCATACCACAATCCCTTCTCCTCCATTCCCCTCTTGGGATTTTGTGCGCACACGCAGATGTACCCAATATGTGTTTAAGCTGCCGGGTCTGGGATTCGAATCACTGTCAGTTAAGTGGGAATCCAGTGATATAACCATTTCGCTATCTGCTGGTCCCTATATATGTATTTATTTATTTTTTTTACATATTATGTATGTATTTATTTATAAACCTTTATTTATTTGTTGTGCTGGGACCTGAACCATGGTCTGCCATGTGGGCAGCACCTCAGCCACCACATCGCCTGCTGACCCCTGTTTATATATATTTAAAACATACACGTAGGGAACAGTGGATGGTGTGATGGTTATGCTGCCGAACTCCCATGTAGTCAATCGTGGTTCAAGTCCCAGACCCGGTGGCTTAAACTCATGCTGCGCGTGTGTGCGTGTGTGCGTGTGTGCGTGCGTGCCCAAGATCCCGAGAGGAGAATAGAGAAGGGAATGCAGCGTGGCCACCCCCCGGGGGGATATTTCTCATTTTCTGTCTCTGTCCCTCTCTGTCTTTCGGGCTTACACACGTGACCTACAGCAAAAACCTCTCTTAAAAAAAAAAAACTAATAAATAAAATACAAACATAAAAATACACATATACCTTCATTTTTATAAAAATATTACATATTTAAAGTACATATATAATTTTTTTTTCTTTTTTTTTTTTTTTGGAGAAGTTTTTGCTATAGGGTGTGTGCGCTCGCCAGACAGAGAGAGACAGAGAGACAGAAAGTGAGAAATCACCCCCAGGGGGGGATGGCCACACCGCAATCCCTTCTCCTCCACTCTCCTCTCAGGATCTTGGGCACGCATGCACTCATGCCCGGCGTGAGTTTAAGCCACCAGGTCCGGGACTTGAACCGCGGTTGACTACGTGGGAGTCCAGTGACATAGCCATTACGCTAACTGCTGGTCCCAATACATATATAATTTTTAAAACTTTATTTTAATTTGACCAGAGAGAGAATGTGAGAAAGCAAGCCGCCAGGTCCAGGACTCCAACGGTGGTCGGCCATGTGGGAGTCCAGAGCCTTTAACCACCACACCACCTGCCGGCCCAACCTGCCTTCTCCATTTCTCCTTTCAGGGTCCTGGGTATGCACACACATGTGCCCAGTGTCTTTCTCAAGCTTCCAGGTCTGGGACTCAAAACATGCAGTCAGTCATGTGAGACCCAGTCACCCTAACCACCACACCGTGGGCCGGTCCTAAATGTACTTCTTTAACATAAAAAAAAAGACCAAAAAATGCATACAAAGCCACCTGGGAGGTGCTCATTCTTGATACTGGAGAGCCAAAGCATAGGACCCAGGATCAGGTGCCCTGCTCTGAGTCCCAGCTAGGTCACCTACTAGCTGTGCCTGGGCCAGTTATCTGGACAATGAACTTTCCACACACGGTAAGGGGCAAACGAGAACATGTATGTAAAGCACTTGGCCCGAGCACCTGAGACATACAAAAAACACATAATAACACTTGTTTGTATTCTTTGGAATTGGTCGGGTTCTTTTACGATCATTTACTCACAAAGTGGTGTGAGACAGCAACCTCTCCCACACCCCAGTGTGTCTCTGGTGTGCAAAACCAGGAGCGAGGGGCTGCTGGGGCCCGGGTGGGGGAAGGGACGGCAGAGGTCGCGGGCACACTGCCCTGGGAGGAGGAGGGCTTTCTTGGAAGACATCGTGGGGAGTGTCTGGCTGTCACGGACGTTGCTGCCCACGACCCTCTGAGTCTGGTACACTTCACACCTCCCTGAGTTCGGCGGACCATACTGAGAACGTCTAAAGACGCACCTCTGGCCACACTACTTCAAATTCCTGGTCAGAGCGCAGCTAAGATGGAAATCCAATTAAAAAAACTAGGAAACACCTCTCAAAATACTGGGTTGTCAGGAAAGCCATGATGGGGGCCAACAGGGGGCATGGTAGTTGAGGCGGCTGGACTCCTACATGGCTGACCATGGTTCTAGTCCCAGACCAGGTGGCTTGCTTTCCCACTTTCCTTCTCTCTCATTGTTCATTGTCTCTCTCTGGTCAACTTCAAATAGATAAATAAATAAAAATAACGACAATGAATAAAACAATTCTTAAACAAAAAAAGCCATGATGCATTTTTTGCCATAGAAAAACATGAAAAAATCCATCATGCCTTTTCTGAGACCTAACAGCACTCATAATTTAACTCTAAAAGTTGTATTACTGGGCTTGCCAGTACCATGGTGGTTAAGGCAGCTGAATCCCACATGGCTGGTTAAGTAGTTCAAGTCCTGGTCCCAGCAGCAGCTTGGGGGGGGGGGGGCAAAGAAAATGAATAAGTAATTTGCTGAAGAGAACATCTTAAACACCAATAAGCCTGTGAACTGAGCCTCAGCCTCAATGTGACTGTAGAATGCAAATTAAAACATGCTGGGCCAGCAGGTGGAGTGGTTGTTATGGCGTTGGACTCCCACATGGCCAACCACAGTTCAAGTCCTGGACCTGGTGGCGGCTTGCTTTCTCACTTTCCCTGTCTCTCTTACTCTCTCTGGTCAAATTAAAAAATAGTAACAACAACAAATGGAGTTAAATAAATGAAAAAATAAAAAAAATAATCTTAATACTTTGGTACTCAGAAATTTGGCAAAAATTGAAGTCTGATGTTAAGGAAATACCGAACTTACTTTGAAAGCACCCTCGGACTCCATGGATAGGAGATCCCCATCGAATGGAATGAGATCTAAGCTGTACTCCTCCCTGTGAATAAAGGATCCCAGCACGCCCAGATCCTTCAGCCGCTGTTCACACAGCAGACTGCGGCGCGGCACGAACAAAATGTGGAAGTCCCTCGTGGGGCCTCGTCTGTCTTCACTGCAGAGGAAGAAAGAGACGTCAGCCACGCGCTCCTCAGAGTCAGGGTCCCTCTGCCGGCACAGCAGGGACCACAGAACCGGGGTGACGCAAGCACAGGAGGGTGGACCCCCGACCCGAACTGTGACAGCTGTGTGTGTGCTCGCTCCCGTTCTGTCGCTCTCTCTCTTTGCCCCTTAACAGGAAAGCAGCATCGACTCACAGTTGGGACTTCATGTTCCATTTTCTGGCATTTTCCTAAGCCATTTACGGGATGGTTTACCGAGACAGGACATCCGTGTCTTACCGAAAACAAATGGCTCTTCAACAAACCAATGCCACGACAGAGCCTCCCATTAAAGTGAGGGGTCACCCGGCCCCCACCTCCACTCTCCTAGACAGTCAGCTTCCGAAAACAGCCCGTGTGCTTTGCAGATCGGGGGCCGCAGTGAGCACACACCGCAGAGTGCAGGCTGGGCTGGGAGGGCTTCCCGGGACTGGCTGCTGCATGACATTTTAATCAGCTCTTCCTCTGCTTATGAAACTCGAGCACACCGCATTCGGCACACCGCAAAGTAACCGGGAGAGGGTTGTTTATTTTCCTGCCAGGGTCCTTTCTACCGACCGAGGCTCACGTCTCAGCTCTCCCGTCGCAGCGGGATGACCTCCCCCCAAACTATGAGAACAACGTCACAGGTCCCCGTCCTTCCCTTCCGGTCCCGGTTTTCCACGAGACCACCCTCCGCGCGGGCGGCAGTGGGGCTCCGAGGAGCAGCTCCGCACAGCGCGGCAGGAAGGACGGCCATCTCTGAGTCAAGCAAGCGCTGATACCTGAGCACGTTCTCAGCGATGACGTCCATCAGCTCTAGCCTGGGTCTGACAAGGAAAATGACGTTCTTGACGTCGGCGGCCGGCAAGCGGCTTCCTCTCAGCGTGAACATTTTCTCCACTTCATGCTCCTAGGAGACCGCGGAAAGGTTAGCAGAGACCTGAGCTTCCTTATCGCCTCAGACCCAGGGGTCGCACACGTGCCCAGTCCAACGCACGCTGCTACCGTCTAACCAAAATGTAGAGGCCCCGGGGCCCGCAGGTGGCATGGCGGTTAGGGCAAAATGGATGCCATGCGGCTGACTCCATGGTGCAAGGAGGGGGCTTGGCGGCCTGGAAATCACCCCGGGCGCGTGTAGGTACATGCCCAGAATCTTGAGCAGAAAAGGGAGGATTGGGATTGCAGTGTGGTCATCCCCCCAGGAGATTTCTCACTTTCACACCCTGTCCGTCTGTGAGTGCACGCGCCCTACGGCAAACAGTCTTAAAAACAAATCTGGATCACGCAAAGCTACATCCACGAAGGACAAGGCTTCCGGACAAAGCACTGACACTGCGTCCTCCTTCCCCAGGCCCTCCCGGGAAGAGCGACCGAGGACACCCGGCAATGGTCACAGGCAGTAATGCCAGATGGGGCAGCAGGGGCAGCAGCAGCAGCAGCAGCAGCGGTCACAGGGACCGGGGCACCGCGCC